TGACAAAACACTTTGTCAATGGACCAACACAAGATTCTGCTTCATGGCCCTCCATCATCTCCTCTGCAACATGTCCGTAACATCCAATTGTTAGAAACAATTCTTAGAGGCACCCCATTAATCTTTTTTCTATACTCGGTTTTTTTTTTGCGATTTTTTCTAGACACGGGTGATGAAATCGACTTCTATGGTGATTTGTGTTACCAACTTCCCTAGAAATGTCATCTATTTTTAGAGGGGGGTGTTTCTGACCGTCCCTGGAGATAAAGGCCAACTGCCTCTAGAAATTAATTTTCAAGGATAGTTGGTAATTTAAATCGTTCCTAGAAATAGGTATCGCTAAAAAAAACTCATATAAAGTTGGAGGAAGACACTTTATATCAAAATGCTAAAGGTCAACGAGATCGTCTGAAATGTTTTACTTGACGTATTTTATATTTGAGATTGTTTAAGGGTCGCAATATATGTTTTAAACATTTTCAAATTCAACTTTTATTTTCTTCAAACAGCCTCATATGAAGGCACACCATGTACCAAAAAGTTGTAGTGCTCAATGAAATCTAAAACTCTGTAGTTAAAACTTTTTTCATTTCAGATTATTTAGTAGCTGAAATATCCAATACAATATTCATAAAAGTTAACAAAAAAATATAAAATTATATACCTCGCCACAAATGATTGTGTGGCGTGATAGTAAAGAAGAGTTGCCCGCACATATTTGACTGCTAGGAAATGCACATGCGTGTAAATTCGTTTGACTTATGACTTTAGCCTTCCTTGGATCCAGGGGACTAACAACTAGTCCTATTAGCTCCTAAAGTAGCCCATGACTAATGGATTAACGATTATTCTGCTTGTTTGGATCCTTAGCGACTAAAAATTAGTGAATTAGTTATTAGTCCTATGGATCCAAACGTACCTTAGCTAACGGGCTTCTCCTAGGATTAGAAAAAAAGTGCTATTTTTATGCCCATTTTTTCGAAAGGACGGCAAAAGTTTGCCGCGATTTCTATTAGACGAAGAAAAGAAAAAGAAGGCAAGTGCCCCGTCCAGTTCTTTGAATGGAAACTGGGCAAAAATCATACAACTGAGGAGAGCCCCGCTCATCCTACACAACTTGATACAACAATTCAGCACCAACTTGTCGAATCGACCCCAGCTAACCAACTATCTCAACTCACGCCGCCACTTGCAGCTGGTCGACGTCCACTCAACTCGACTCTACTAGAACAAAACTCTCCACCACTGGCACCACCCACGCAACACAACAGCGAAAACGACGCACTAGCCCCGCCACGAGCCGTCCCGGCCGAGACAAATTCCACAACGACGCCTTCAAGAAGGTAACGACGTCCAAGCGCCGCCGTCGCTCGTCCAAGGCCGGACTGGGTTTTCACCCGTGGAGAGTGCTGTGGACGCGACGCCCTCAACGGGGGGAACGGCACCCGCAGGTGTCGCCGTCACCAGGCCTTCGCCCAAAGAAACCACAGCACGGTCGTCGGTCAAGATGCCGGGTCCCTGCCAGGCACCAAAGACGTCGCCGCCAGACCACCGGCCGAGGCCACTCCGAGGGGTCGACGCCACCGCCACGCATAGCAGCCGCAAAAGCCGCCAAAGACCCCGCCGACCGGACCACATGCCAAGAACCAGCCTTCCGCCGCCGTACGTCCACCTTGGGCACCGCCCATGCCACTCAAGATCCGGATGCGGGGCAAGGCCCGCACCAAAGACCCCAAGACGCCGAGGCCTCCGTCCTCGCCGCGACCACTCTGCGCCGACACCGAGGATCATGTGGGGAAGAACGGCATAGAAGGGCCACCCCCCAACGCCGGCATGAAACCCAACCACCGCCACAAAATGGCCACCATCGAGAAGAAGGAGAGGGCGAGCAGAGAGGGAGGGAACCCCGCCGCTGCCCCTGCGCCCTGCGGCACACGCAGCGTCGGCAAGCCCCAACAGGAAGTGTGGCCTCCACCGGGCCCGGCAATGCGGCACCACCACGCGCACCGCAGAACTGCCACCGCCACGGCCGCCCCGCCACCACAACATCGCCAAGGAACCACACCGCCATCGTTGGATTGCCGCCCAGACGCCGAAAACGCCGCCCAGACGCCGAAAACGCCGCCCAGCCGAACCACCAAGCAGCCGATCCACCTCGCTGACAAAACCGCCGCCGCGGTGCCCAAACACCAGCGCCGGTAGTCACTACCACCACAGAGCACCAACCGCCCGATGAAGGCGGATCCGGCCGCCAGAGCGCCAGATCCGGTGGCCGGAGCCGCCACCGCCCGCCATTGCCGCGCCTACGCTGGCCACGCCCGGCAAGGACCAAGACGGCGAGCAGCAGCCTCCATCCCGCGCCCACTCCACCTCCGAGCGCAGCAGCAAGCTGCCGCGCCCCCTTCGCCACCTCTGACCTGCTGTCGCTGCCGGCCATCGCCGGACCAACGGAGGAGAGCTGCCGTAACAGCACCACCACCACCACCACCACCTACGGGCCAGGGCGCCACCGCACCAGCCTCGCGCACAAGCCGCACCGCCCACCGCCACGGACACCACCGTCAAACCGTCGCACCGCCATGGATGGGCGGCGCAGCCGAGCACCACCATGGCAGCCAACGCCGCCCCGCACGGCCACGAGGCCCACCAGCGTAGATCCGGCATGGGAGCTGCCGGATCCACCCTCCACGGCGTCGGATCTGCCACCTCCGTCGAGGATGGGGTCGTCGCAGCCGCCGCCGTTGCTCGCAAGCTGCTGGCGCCGTCGCCGCGCGCCCACCAAAATGGACGGGGAGGGGACGAAGAGCCCCGCCGCCACCGTCATTGCGACTTCACGGCGAACTGCCGGAGGGCTCGGGCGGCGGCGAGGATGAGGGCCGCGAGAGGGAGGTGTGCGGCGGCGCAGGCTTGGTCCGCCCGTGTCGCCCTTGGCGAGCGACGCCTTATGCCCATTTTGAAATTTCTAAAAATGGTCTGCAGTGTCGTGCGATGTTGTTGATCACCCTGGAAATCAGTTTCTAGTGGTTGTTGGTGTTTCTAACCATCCCTTGAGTAAAACATCCTACGAATCAAATCAGTAACTAGAAACCATTTCTGTAGTGGTGTTAGTCATGGATTGATACTGTAACCAACAAGACTTACGGATGCAACGAGGATGATCAGCATCAGCAGAACAATCAATGGAAAAATTAGTATCTTCTCCATCTTCATTGTTGTATTTGTCCTCATCATCTCTATTGTATTGGTAATCGAGATGGATATAAGTGTGACAGAGCAAGAGTGATGGATATCAATTATATGCAACAAACTATTCAACAAATTGTGAGAATATAAATACTGCAAATACTGAAAGATTTGTATTGAGCCTCGTAGGCAGTAGGCTGCTTATACAGAGCACGGTTGAGTGCAACCCTCCCAATCCCAACGAGTCCGTCACAGGCTGCGGCGCCATTAAAATTTGAATGAAACTAAATGCTAAACTCCGATTATTATTGGTGTGTTATTTGCATACCCTCTCCGTCCCAAAATGGATGTTATTGTCACTTCCTAAGAAGTCTAAAACTTTTAACTTTAACCAAATATATATAAAAAAAATTATTTTTTATAATACATAATTAGTATCATTAGATAGATCGTTGAATACACTTTCATAATAAACTTATTTGTAAATATAAATGTTGCACGTATTTTCTACAAATCTAGTAAAAGTTGAGAAAGTTTGACCTACACGTATCCCGTAACGATTTCCATTTTGGGACAGCGGGAGTATATCGTAGGCATAGCTGTGGCAGGAGCAGGTGATGTGGAGGACCGTGTGATCGACTGCACCAAGAACACCCTCGGAGCCTCTGCACCGAGCACCGCCGAGATGAACTGATGCATGCCGGATTGCCGGACTTCAGAGTCAGACAGAGCTTCGTGAGTGCAATGTAAATGTAACAGTCCACTGTTAAGCAGTGATCACTTATATACAATAATAATGGTCTTTCAGAAAAGGAAAAAAAACAGTAATAATGAAATGAACAATTCGGTTGCTGCTATATATGTTCTCCTAACCGCTTCACCTTGGCCAGCTATAAATTAATCGTTGTAACTCGTCGAGATTGAACTTGTTGAGCTGGGTGTCGCACTTGTGAGAGTGCTGTCGAATGAATCCTTGGAAAGGTGCTCAGCTTTGTCGATCGATCTCCTGCTCGTGGACCTCTCCGATCCCCGTCCTGCGAGAGAAGGGGGAGAACGGTGGCGGGGTAGGACACAACGTGGGAAACATGCCTGCCGGACGATTTAGTTCCAACTTAATAACGAACAAAAGAAAGGAAGAAAAGGTCGGTCACTTTATTCATCCATCCAATCCAAATATCCAATCCAATCCAGTCCAGTCCAGTCCAGTCATGCATGCAGCTCGACCCATGTACCATACCATACATACACACTACTATTTTAGCGATGGCAGTGGCGGTTCAGGCCCGGGGTTGCAGCTAGCAAGAGCATTCAGGCCCCGAACGCTCCCCACGGGCCCAGCCGCGACTCCTGCAACAGCGGCCGCAAGCACCTGTATGAAAGCAACTGAATAAACTACACTTCGGGAGATCCATGCACTTAGTGGCTTCACCGCTCACGGCGTCCTTGTTCCCCTCTGCCTCTGAAACATAACCTGCTAACCATGCATACATGCATCCAGATGTTAGTTAAGAAACCATTTTTTAATTAATTGATTTTGCAGACCTCGGTCGTTATTTTTTTAGATAGACACGGCTGTATTGTACTGTATCACCGATCGAGGACACCGAGAAGAAATTGACTTGACTTCTACAGGTGAATGTGAATGGTGGTATCGACCGGACCGCCCCCTATAAACCGTATATATGGTGTTATTAGTCATGGATTGATGTTGTAATAATAACCAACAAGACTTACGGGAGGCAACGAGGATGCTACTCAGCATCAGCATAACAATCCGAGGGAAAATTAGCATCTTCATATACATCCATCGTTTGCACCTATTTATATTTGTCCTCGTTATCGCTATTGTACTGGCAACTGAGATGGATATAGATCTGACAAAGCAAGTGAGCTGGATATCTATCATATACATCCATCGTTTGCACCTATTTATACATATAATAAGTGTGTTGGTCGCAAGTATAGTTAAAAATGTTGGAATATGCTTGTAAATAAGCTCTGTAATTGCTATAATTACTAGCTTAACATCTTCTTTATTTTTGGCATGTACTTCAATTTCATTCCCTTCATTCCAAGTTATAATAAGTCATTCTAGTTTTTTTAGATACATAGTTTTTGTTATGCATAGACATTGCATAACAAAAGCAATGTACCTAAAATCCACGATGACTTATAATTTAGAACAGATGAAGTATTTATTATCATTTAAATTTAGAATGATGTAAAAGTACGATAGCTTTAGCAAGTAATTATGCCGTGGCAAACAGATGCCTCTGCCGAATGGAATTCGTAATAAAGGTCATCTAAACTTACCTCATTTTGCATGAGATGCAGAGAAGGATGGAATGTTGATATATGCTTGTAAATAAGGTACCTGTAATTGCTACCATCTAATTTAGAATGTTGCAAAAGTACAATGGCACTTTGGTAGGTAATTATGCCGTGGCAAACGGATTGCCGAATAGGATTCCTAATAAAGGTCATCTAAACTTACCTTGTTTTGCATGACATGCAGAGGATGGTTGTACAAAAAAAAAACACTACAGTGATAATGAAATGAAATATATTGGTTGCTGCTATGTTTTCTTAACTGTTTCTTCACATTGGACTGCTCGTAAAATAAGTCAAGTCTGAAACTTTCTTGAGATCTCTCAGATTTATTTCCATGTCTAGCTCTCTTCTATTTTTCATTATCAAACAAACGAATACATGAGCGTATAATTAAACAAGCATTGATGGTGCTATTATTCAATATGGAAGACTAAAAAACATGCACAAACAGAAACAGCCTCCATATATATTTCGTGTCCAGATGAAACTTTACATTGAGCTGTCCAGCCTGACCGGTCTGGAGCAACGAAATAAGATCCTATGTCAAATCACATGACGGCAACCCCCTAACTCACATCCACTGCATTCAGGTAATAAAATAAACATGGTCTCCAACAAGTATGGACTTAAACAGCTGCGTGATCATGGTGAGGTTTCAGGTCCATCTCCACCTGGTGAATTGTCCACTGCATGCCCTCCAGTTTCTGAAGCTCAACCAGGGTTAGCAATGATAACGTGGAACATATGTTAAACTAATGGCAACGACACTGAGCCAGATTACCTTTACAATTTCATGGTACTGCCTTGCAATCACGTCGAAATGTGGATCTACACCCTGATACTCACGCAACCGCGAAACCTGACACAAGAACAAACATCAGAGCAAACAGTTAACTGAAGGAAAGTGAACACTGGGTTTCATGATTTCTTTTCAGATGGAATATTCACTGAGATGGCAGTATGGCACCCATTCTTTCTCCAAACATGTAGCTAAAAGTGAAAAATACAGAATACCATATGCCCGGTTATTGTTATGTAACGGCATAAACTCTACATCAGGTTAAATTGCCTACTGCAACAGGTTAATATTAAAATCATAGGTTGTCAGAACCCAAAACATATTTGCACATTTAACCTTCCTAAGCTGGACTTTGCTTAGTCATGAATGATTAATTATAACTTGATGATGTTAACTACTTCATACAACCTCAAGGTATCAGTTAGTTTGTTTTTTCACTAAAAAGTAGCTGCTAGGCATTGGCTCTTATGATTTGTACAGTTCTACTCTTTGTGAGCTGTAGCCACAATTTTGAGAGCTTTTTCTTGGCTGTTTATAGAACCAAACATTAGAAATATTACAAGAAGCAAAATCATGTATCTTACCGCTTCATTATAGGAATTGGATGCTTCTTTTGTGGCCTCTACAAGATACTTCCTGCAAAAGCAGTTAATATGTTACAAGAAGGTCCTTCGCTGAAAACAAAAGGCACTCAACAAACCAAATCCATCTTATGAATAACAAGTGCCACATAACTCAAAAAGTACATCCACTAAAAGATCGATTGCCTTAACTATACCTGATCCTGTGCAGTGCTGGTACTGTGTCCTTTGTGTAAGTGTCACGCAATAGATGATGCTCTAGATAGCTGGAATCAAAGTATATAAAAAAATATATATAGTTAACCTAATCTTTGAATCCCTTAGCATTTGGAATCCAAAATATATATATATATATAGAGAGAGAGAGAGAAGGGAGGATCGGCTATTTGAGTATAGAGTAACATCTGTTGTACACTTATAATATGGTCACTGATGCGGGTGCCGACCTTAGTTTAGCATTCATTGTCCGACACCTTTTGATAAGCCAGGTCTTCTTCAGATCATCCTGTTAGACAATAAGAGACATGTTAAGCACTTTGACTAGCAATACTAACAATATGAAAAGGTGACATGTTTACTTTAAAGAAGTTGAACCAGAGAACGGAATATGAGAATGCTTACAAATTGGTACTGATGCTCCAATTTCTTGTCTTTAACAAACTGTATAAGCACAGCAAGAATTTGCTCCAAGACCTTTGGAATTTTCAGAACCATAACTAATTGGTTAGAAGTATGAGAAAGAATTTGTGCTCAGGTAAAGTGGGTGCACCTCTGAAAAATTAAGCATTACCAAAGACATACAAACATACATTATAATGTTCAGCAAATTTTCTGTCCATTGAAGCAAGGTCCTCCAGTAGATGTGCCTCTTCCTTTTCTATCTCTTCGATGATTAACTTTACCCTGTCAAACGGGAAGTAAAAATCATGAGAAATACTTATCAGGGACGCCTGTCCAACTTCATCCTATCACAAGCACCGCGTTAGTTTCCAATTCCAAACAAGATGGAAAATTGGGCACTCATGCCAAGTTAAGTTAGCTATGTAAATGGATGGGATTGCAGCAAAGAAGGGATGGTAAGATGGTATTAATACTAAATATGTGATTGGTACAGTCTGATTTAAAATGTAAGATAAGAAAGTCCACCTTTCTGGAAGCCTAGCACTTGAAATTTGACTGATGGATGACGAATCTGCAGTAAAGATGTTAAGGTAAGACAGAATAATAACCAGAACCAGAATTTGGACTGTTCTCTCTCACTCTCTTTTCTATTCTTCCACTAGTTTCAGTAACTGACCCCTCTCGTCCATAGCAAATAGATCAGCCAAAGCATCACACTTGGCTTCTAACCGGGCTTCAATCTCCCTAGCCAAAGTTCTCTGATAATCAACCATGTCCTGTAATCGACACAAAAGCAGATGCTTTCAAAGTTCAGGTGAAGATTTTGTATATTCTTTCACTCATTGACCAAAAGGGTAAAACACATCATAGTCTAATAATTGGTTACAAAATAGTTTTGCACTTCTCAAGGAACATATCAGAATTACGTTCATCAAATCAAACAAGTAACAAGGTATGAATTGACCATTTAGGCAAAAAAAATGTTCTTACCACAGACATGGCTGGCTGCTCTTGTTGCACTTGGTAGAGATAATCAGAAGTGATCCCAAGAAAACGGTCAGGAACACCACCAACTACAGGTTCAACCGCATCTGAACTACCACTTCCATGTGCAGCAGCAACAGTCACCGCACTGGCGGTGCTGCTATAATTGTTGTAACTCGTTGAGATTGAACTTGAGCTGGGTGTCGCGCTTGTGAGGGTGCTATCGAATGAACTCCTTGAAAAGGTGCTCAGCTTTTTGATCTCCTGCTCATGGACCTCCCCGTCCTGAGAGAGCAGTGGGAGCCTCAGCCTCTGCGCTGCCTCCGCCACGGCCAACCGGTGCTCCAAAGACTCGTACACCTGGATCAGAGGTTCAGAACCGACAGAGTATAAGCTCGGTGACTGAATCAGAGTATCATTTTTGCTGGACAATTTCTCGATTACGGTGCTAAGTCAATTGAACCAACAATGAGGAATTCTTCCACTGTCTATTAATCGGTTTATTATTATTGCTGCCCACCCAGATCACACCTGAAGATGTATTTGCACCAGTCAATGAAAAAAAATCCAAAGACTCGTACACCTGGATCAGAGGTTCAGAACTGACAGAGGTTAAGCTCGGTGACTGAGTGTCATTTTTTCTGGACAATTTCTCGATTACGACGCTAAGTCAAAAAACCAGCAATGAGGAATTCCACAGTCTATTATTCAGCTAGTACTGCCCACCCAACTCACATTTGAAGATGTACTTGCACCAGTCAATGAAAAATGAGGGACCTGTCAGAGAGAAGCAGAACCTGCGGGGAGCAGTTGAGCTTCTTGCCGGCGCCGGCGCCACCAGCCGCGTGGTACTCCTCCACCATGGCCACCGCCTCCGCGTACAACGCCTAAGGCATAGCATAGCGCCACCAGATCTGATGAGAACCCGACGAGCAAAACCTAGAATGCGGATCCGACGAGCGGGCGGGGGGGATGAGGGTGACTCACCAGTGCCTCGAGGTAGAGCGCGCGCTCCGCCGCGACCTCCTCGCGCGCCTGCGCAGGCACAGGGTTCAGGTGAGCAGCAGTCGGGAAGGAGCGTGGCGGGCGCGACGTGCGTGCGTACCTGGAGGAGGTCGGAGTGCGCGGAGTTGGAGAGGAGGGACGCGTCCGGGGCGAGGTGGTGGCGCTGGAGCTGCTCCACCAGGTGCGCCACCTCCGGCGGCGGCGGCGGGAGCGACGCTGCTGCGGCCTTGGACATCGCGGGGGAATCGGCGCCGGCGGAGGCCACTCACGGGGGAATCGGCCTGGTTGGTGCCACGGTAGCGTTTGAATTGGGTGGGGCTCGTGAGGTGGTGGTAGGTTGGTGGCCGTTGGATCGGCGAATGGACGGCTCAGATCGCCGCCGGCTGATTACAGTACAAGAGAAGCTTGAAAGCCGGCTGTCGTGTGAGAAGGGAGATACAGACCATACAGTGCTGAAATAGAAGAAGCGGTCATAGACGTCACTGTCACAGAAATGGTTTCCGGAAAATGAAATCTTCAGTTTCCGTTTTCATCGGAACAAACAAGAAAGACAATGGTTTGGAAACTCTCTTCAGGTAACCTTCTATGGTTACACTTCGTCTAGCAGTAACCAGAGAAAAGAGAAACACAAGAGAAGCTCTAGTAGTGTATAAAAAGGTCAAATCATGGTGCTGTGAAAATCGAAGAGAACATTTCTGAACGTAATCGCGCATCAAACAATTGCTTAAAAAGTGAAGAAATGTTCCATTAAATTTAAGATGAACTTGGGATATGATGGCGGCACCACTAAAGGGTGAGGTTTCAGTTAGGGGTATTAGATCCAAAATCGAAGCCTAAGCCGAAAACACGAGCATCACTTTCATAGCTTCTCCTCCTCACAATAGAAATGGCTCCGGCTTTTCTTCCGTACGCTGAAAAAGGGTTTTGTTTTCGCGCAACTCTTGTGTTGCAATTGCGGCCGGAGTCGCACCAAATACTCAGCGGCAGGCAAGGCAGAAGGTGTTGAATCGTTTTCAACACCTTTGCACAAATCCTAGATCCTACCACAGTGGACAATGGAAAAGGAACTCGATTTTGTGCGAGCAAGATCACTGTCTAGATAACGACACCATCATCATTAATTCATCATCCAAGGAAGGCGAGACGAAACACGGCAGTGTGCTGTGTGCTGTGTGCGTGCATGATAAAAACGCACTACTAATTTCCAAATCCTTAGTGGCTTCCGTTGGTTCCACGTCACCAAAGACGAATGAATCAATAATCAAGCTGTTCTATACTTCTGTGGGGCGCGCACACTGACACAGTGCGTGCGTTATCACAACATCCAATGCTGCCGGAGCTGGACGACGACGTCACGGTTAAAGAGAGAGCAGCTTGCTTGTTCTCATTCCATTCCTCCACTGGAGGCGAGTGAGTAATTAGCACTTGAGTCATCGCCATCCATCAGCAACAAGCCAAGCGCGTGAGCTCGCCGATTACGCTGCTCCTACGCGTCGTCTCTCCCGCTGCTCTGCTCCACTCGTCACTCGATATTTCCCATCTGCCATCAGAACTACCTCTCCACCCGTTCTGCTCTGCTCCGCCTCCGCCTCCGCGCCCAATTCTTTCTGAGCCGGAACCGGAGGCGGAGACCGACCCCGCGCGCGCGGCGGAGCGATGGAAGGCACCGTGCTGTGCGCGGCGAACCACGCGCCGCTGACGCCCATCAGCTTCCTCGAGCGCACGGCGCTCGTCTACCCCGACCGCCCCGCCGTCGTCGCCGCGGGCCACGCCGCCGCGCCGCGCACCTGGCGGGAGACCCGGGACCGCTGCCTCCACCTCGCCGCCGCGCTCGCGGGGCTCGGCATCGCGCGCCGCGACGTGGTGAGTCCCTCTCCAGCCGTTGCCTGCCTTCCTCTCCTCTGCTCTCTTCTTCTTCTTCCGTGCTACGGAGCGGTAGATTTATTCGGCCATTATTTACCTGCCGCCGTCCAAGCTTTCACTTTTACTGCTGTTGCTGTTCTTGGTTGAAAAAGGCTCCGTTTTAATTCCATGCGAGTAGATAGTGTTCATGCCCGAATTCATCAACTATTCGACCACCTGAATTGCTTGCGAATTGTGTTCGGACCGAATATCGTTTCATCAGTAAGAAGCTGCTACTAGTAGGTTCAGCAATCGAATCGAATTGGCCGATTCTCAATCGCAGCTGAGCTGCCGTTGCTGCCCCGTGCAGGTTGCGGTGTTCGCGCAGAACATCCCGGCCTTCTGCGAGCTCCACTTCGGCATTCCCATGGCCGGCGCCGTCATCTGCGCGCTCAACTCTCGCCTCGACGCCGCCATGGCGTCCGTGCTGCTGCAGCACTCGGAGGCCAAGGTCGTCTTCGTGGACGCCGCGCTGCTCGGCGTCGCGCGAGAAGCGCTCCGCCTCATCTCCCAGCAGGCCGCCGGCGCCGGAGCAAGCAGCAGGGTGCCCACCGTGGTGCTAATCAACGAGGTCCTCGACGAGCCGCCGCCGCCGTCGACAACTGATCGGTACTACTACGAGTACGAGGCGTTCCTCGGCAGCAGCAATCCAGAGGAGTTCTTGATCCGGTGGCCGCTCAACGAGAACGAGCCGATCGCGCTCAACTACACGTCGGGGACGACGTCGCGGCCCAAGGGCGTGGTGTACACGCACCGCGGGGCGTACCTGAACACGCTGGCGTCGGTGCTCCTCAACGACATGACGGCGCTGCCGGTGTACCTGTGGACGGTGCCCATGTTCCACTGCAACGGGTGGTGCCTGGTGTGGGGCGTGGCGGAGCAGGGCGGCACCAACGTGTGCCTCCGCAAGGTGACCTCCGCCGCCATCTTCGCCGCCGTGGCGGCGCACGGGGTCACGCACATGGGCGGCGCTCCCACGGTGCTGAGCATGGTGGTCAACGCCACGGCGGAGGAGCGGCGGCCTCTGAGTCTGAAACCGAGTGGGAGGCCGGTGACGGTGATGACGGGCGGCGCGCCGCCGCCGCCGCAGGTGCTGTTCCGGATGGAGGAGCTGGGGTTCCTGGTGATCCACTCGTACGGGTTGACGGAGACGTACGGGCCCGCCACGGTGTGCACGTGGCGGCCGGAGTGGGACGCGCTGCCGGCGGCGGAGCGCGCGGCGATCAAGTCCCGGCAGGGGCTGCACCACCTGGGGCTAGAGGTGGACGTCAAGGACCCGGCGACGATGACGAGCGTGCCCGCCGACGGGCGCACCATGGGGGAGGTGATGTTCCGGGGCAACACGGTGATGAGCGGGTACTACAAGGACGCAGCAGCGACGGCGGAGGCCATGTCCGGCGGGTGGCTCCGGTCGGGGGACCTGGCGGTGCGGCACGCCGGCGACGGGTACGTGAAGATCCTGGACCGGTCCAAGGACATCATCATCTCGGGCGGGGAGAACATCAGCACCATCGAGGTGGAGGCGGCGCTGTTCGCGCACCCGGCCGTGGCCGAGGCCGCCGTGGTCGGGCGCCCCGACGAGTACTGGGGCGAGACGCCGTGCGCGTTCGTCACGCTCAAGGAGGGCAAGGACGCGGAGGGCGTGGGCGCGGAGGAGCTCATGGCGTTCTGCCGCGCACGGCTGCCCCGGTACATGGCGCCACGGATGGTGGTGTTCGTGGCCGAGCTGCCTAAGACGGCGACGGGAAAGGTGCAGAAGTTCGCGCTCCGGGAGCAGGCCAAGGCCATGGGCAGCATCTCCAGCTCCAGCTCCAGCTCCAAGAAGCCGGGAGGGTCAGGGACGAGGAGCAAGCTCTGAACTCGCGTGTCCAGTGGTCCTGCATGTGCATGTTCATGGGGAAAGAGAATCATCCAATGATCCTGATTCATTATTTCAGTAATAACTTACAGTAATAACCTTCAATTATCTTAATAAAAAAATGGAGGTGCATCTGGAAAACAATGGACTCGTTGGCATGATTAGTTAGTGAGTCTGTCAATACAAAAACCGAGTGTTTCTCCCCTCACCCCACACGTCCGCCTCTCTCCGGCGGCGGCCATGGTGGATCGAGCAGGCCGCCGCCTCCTCATCATCATCATGGATCCGGCCATCCGCGTCCCTCCTCCGCTGCTCCCTCCCTCGTCTTCAAGCACCCCGCCCTTCTCCTCCTCGCCGCCCCTGCCGCCAACCACCGCCCCGCCGCGGGCGCTAGGGTTCACCAGAGCTCTGGCGAACCCTAGCGCCCGCGGCAGCCGCCTCCTTCAATTATCCTAATAAAAAAAATGGAGGTGCATCTGAAAACAATGGACTTGTTGGCGTCATTAGTTTAATTGTGTTTGTTTGTTTCATTGTTTGTGTGCGTGTGTCTCGATTCTGGCCTTGCCAAAGAACGTGCTCACTCCTTTTCTTCATCACTTTTTGTACAGCACTTGGATCCAATCTCCTCCTGAGTTTTCTAATTTCTCGATCGATGGAGCTTAGCTCCCTGCCGCGCTTATTTTTCAGAGTCACATGTCGAGAGCATTTATGGCCGGTGGCTATTTTCTAATACGCTTAGCGTTTAGTGTATCGTTAGTTAGTTGCCTTGGATCTCTTCAGACTAGGTGCTCTTTTGGGGGGGTTCCTTTGCCTTGGATCACACTTCAGATTTGGTGCCTTTGATCTCCACCATTGGATGTGTGTGGTGATGAGTGCACAGCAATTAAATAAGCGACAGATACTATTATCGGGTCACTTCGATTCAATCTCCCAGTGCTTAGTTTATATTGGGTCACTTCGATCTCTTTAAGACAAGTACTTACAATGCCTTCGCATGGAGCCGTTCTCGATGGATTTCGCCTAGTTCCAGCACTCGGTGCTTGTTTGCGTCACCACCCTCACAGATAAAGAACCATGGCCCCAACCCCCAAGCATGAAGAATCGGGATGCCCGGGAGCGTCTCTGGTTCAACACAACTCTGCCTAGTGAACATGCCCTCAGTGTTGGTGGCACGAGGCGCTTGAGTCCGAGGTGAGCGTTTCTTTCTCAAGGAAAAAGAACAAAAAAAAAAGAAGCTAGGCGACAAATCTATGCCAAGTGTAATGCACGAAATCTCTCCATCGCCTAGCTTTCTAGTCAACAGTGAAGCCGCGTGGGCTATTGCAGTTTGGTGAAATGTCTGCCTGTGCTTCCTTTTCATGGATATTTTCCCGTGTCTTTGGTCTTTGGGTCCTTTTTGTGTTTGGTTTTTTAGAGGGTGGAGTTCCTTGTGCACCTGTCCGAATTTTTTGTTTTTTAGCCTTTTTTTAAAAAAG